CACTCGCGTTGCTCTGGTGGCCACTAGGCGTACGTCAGGACACGGTCCGAGACCCGGGTGCCTTGCAGATGCCCGCCAACTGGACGGTGCGGCCTTGGGCACTTGCCGTCCCCGCAGCTTTATACAGTCTTAGGTGCTGGTGCTAGAACCCTATAACACATAAACCCTAAACCTAGCCCCGAATCATACCCCTTACCCCCTGAATGCTTAATTCTGAACCCTAATCCGCAAACTCGTAACCCATAAACCGTATCACCCGAACGCCCTAACAGCTAAACCCTGATCCTAGACCACAACCTTAAACCCAACCGCAAATCCTCAGCCGTGATAAATAGCCGGTGTGGTGCGTGCAAAACATCGGCGCGGTGGAGACAAAGGCGGCTGGGCGTGGAGCTCGTCGTCGGAGAGAGAGCGGCACCGCGAGGAGGGGGCTGCCAGCTCAGGGGCACCTGGCCTGGCGCAGGCTGCACGTGGCCCATGTTCATTGTGCTTGCACGAAGTGTTGGCATCGTGACGCCGCCTGTGACTTTGTGTTCACGTTCCGCATGCATTTTACGTGTGTAACCGCGAGTTTGCTTTGCAAGTGTCAAACGTTGCTTTTTGGAAAAAAAAATCATCCATCCCACGTGTAAATAATTCTGTTTCGTTTCCCTTGCATTTTTTATTATTCAGTTTTATTCGAGCGCATTGTCAGTTCGCCGTGTCATTTTGGCATCCTCCATCGAATTGTGCTTTCTTTTCATCTCCACTTGACTGGTCTGATCCCTGCGTGTTGTGTGATTTATGTTCAATAAAAAAACAAAACCACATTCCATTAAAACGGCTTGTTTTTTTATTATTATTATTTTGGCTTCATTTTGTTTTTATTTCTCCACTGTTTCATGTCGCGGCCATTATTTGTTGTCGTTTACCACAATGCGGTCGCGTCGAATGCAACGGCGGGTGAACTCGGCAGCCCTGCCAAATTGCTCCGCTCACGCCCCTGCCGCCAGACGGAACCTCCCCAGTTGCCTCGTGCGGCCTGCTCTTCTTCTGCGCTGGCCATACGTCTTGGCAGGGGTGGGAGAATGCGTTTACACGGGGGGCAGCGGATCACCGGCGACACGCTTGGGTCGCCCCCACTCAACCGCGCCCACTACCCCTTCACCACCAACAAAGACAAAGATCCCCCGTGTAGCCTGCACGGACTGTTGGGGCAAATGCTGTAGTGGGCACGGCACCCGAGGCGGTGGGTGGCCAGCAACACCACACCCAGCCACGAAAACTTCAGAACGTCGCACCAGGTACTCATTTGTGGCTGAGTCGACCAAGGGGAGGCCCAGAACCCATTCGGATAATCTTCGCTGGCGTTTGCCGTGAGCGGGAATCGAACTGGGGTCGTCGGGTTTGTCGATCGGCGCGCTCCCCGCCACCCCCAGCAGCAGCTCATGTCCAATGCAACCATCCAGGCCGCGGTGCTTGAGCAGAAGCTTCGTTGCCGCGGTGCTGGGCTGTGTCACCATTCACCACCAAGAGATGGAGGTGAATGGGGCCAGGGGGTGCACGCTGCACCCCCCGGGGGTGCGAGACATGGCCAGATTATTTTTTTTTACGTAAATCATCGAAAGCACAAATTAATCACGGGCACCTAAGTTCCAACTTACTTTGTTTCATCAAACACCCCGCGTATCTATTAAAACAAAAATACTACAGAGAACCAAATGGGTGCCCCTTTTATCACTCGCCGCACCAGCCCTCTTCCCCGGCGAGTCCGACGTTTTACGGCTCCGCCCACCCCCTTCCCGCTGTGTCCTGCGCAGCCGCTGGATGAGAGAGGTGCCCCGCGCGGCGCCTCGGCTCGGCTCCTCTCGCTCGTTCCCTCGGCGCGCTCTGTCGGGGGGTCGCCAAGCGCTGGGTCGGGACCGTGGCAGTTGTTTGACCCCCGTGCGGGATGAAGCCAATGCGGAGCCTGGAGCACGTTTTATTGAAGGGCCCTAAATAAAATAAAAACAAGACGATTTTGTTTTTACTTGCATAGTAAAGTAATTGCATTTTTTCCATTTGCCATACGGCCAGATAATACGACAGATCGCTAACCTCAAACACCCAGTCGTTCATAACAGTTGAAGGCGGTATAGTACTATGGTAATAGAGCAAGTGCAGAATCACTGAACCGGAATTGATCGCTTGAAATCATTTAGCGCGGGGCCCTTGAAAGCGCGGGGCCCCGTAGCATTGATACCTTTGCCACGAGGATCATGCGGCACTTCCCCCACACCACCACCCCCGGTGCAATGCTCGAAGGTCGAACGAAGGTCGACTCGCAACAAGTGACGCCGTCAGATGCGTCTCCAGCAAGGCGACGCTTTGGCCCACGTGTGTGTGGGCAGAAGCGCGGATAGCCAGCGCCAGGACACGCGGAGGCGAGGCGCCCTCGGAGAGAGACGCAGAGACGCCGTGACGCTCCTTAAGAGAGGTCCCCGCAATGTGCTGTCATGAAGCCGTCCGGCCCGGCACACGAGGGTCTGACGTGGCCGACGTTTTGTCACTCCACAATCCACACCAGCGACTAATTTGAGGCTGAGTCTTTACCTTGGCGCAAAGGCAAAGATCTCCCGTACAGCCTTGGCGAACTTTTGGGGCAAGTGCTCACACCGATGAAGGCTGGCACGGCACGCGGCGGGGTGGGTGACCAAGCACCACGACCCGGCCGTCTTTGTCTTCCTCCCTAGTGGCGATGTTTACACACCGCACCGGGTACTCATTCGAGGTTGGGTCGACCTAGGGGAGGGCCAGGACCACTTCGAATAGTCTCTACTGGTGTCGTCCGTGAGCGGGAATCGAACTGGGGTCGCCTGGTTCGTAGTGCAGCGCGCTAAGCAGCCACCCCCCACGCAGTAGACACGCGGACACACACGCGCGGACACACTAGGGGTCACGTGGACACGCGCGCGGAGTCGCGTGGACACGCGCGCGGGGACGCGTGGACACGCGCGCGGGGTCACGTGGACACGCGCGCGGGGTCACGTGGACACGCGCGCGGGGACACGTGGACACGCGCACGGGGTCACGTTTTAAGAGACTCGTTCAAAGGTAATCAAAACCGATAGAAATGTGCCTCATTTATGTAACGTTCATTACGCGTCAGAATCGTGTCTGGAAAAGGCTATCAATTGGACGTTGATACGTGATGCTGTTGCTAGCTGCTGCTTGCTGCAGCTGTTGCAACCTGTTGCTGTTGCTAGCTGTTGCTGCTAGCTGCTGTTGATGCTGTTGCTAGCTGCTGCTTACTGCTGCTGTTGCTAGCTGTTGCTTGCTGCTGCTGTTGTTGCTAGCTGTTGCTCGCTGCTGCTGCTACCTGCTGTTAGCTGCTGTTGATGCTGTTGCTTACTGCTGCTTGCTGCTGCTGTTGCTAGCTGCTGCTTACTGTTGCTGTTGCTAGCTGTTGCTTACTGCTGCTGTTGCTAGCTGCTGCTTACTGCAGCTGTTGCTAGCTGCTGCTTACTGCTGCTGTTGCTAGCTGTTGCTTGCTGCTGTTGTTGCTAGCTGTTGCTTGCTGCTGTTGTTGCTAGCTGTTGCTTGCTGCTGCTGTTGCTTACTGCTGCTTGCTGCTGCTGTTGCTAGCTGTTGCTTACTGCTGCTTGCTGCTAGCTGCTGCTAGCTGCTAGCTGCTGCTGTTGCTAGCTGCTGTTGCTAGCTGCTGCGCGGGTGAAATTAACAAAACGTCACGTTCGTCAACACATTACTCAGAATAATAATCGGCAACTTTCGTCATATTTTGTCCCTTGTGCATTTTACATTACGCGTTCAACGTGAAGAACGGCACCCGCATAGGTCTCATACACATTATCGCGCCCTTCAAGGCCTTTGTCTTCATCCCCGGCGTCATCACCGCCACGTGCCGTCGTCGTCAGCGCTGTTCAAAGCCACTGGTGGAGGTGGCTCTCTGAGCATACTTCACCGCGCTGGTCGTTACGTGCACGTGACCGGCGGTGCTGCTGCTGCTGCTCGAGTGAAATGAACAAAACGACACTTTTCATCAATCTGTAATCGAGGAGGGTGTTGGGTTAGTTGGCATACATATGAATGCGTCGTTTAAACCCGCCGCCACCCGACTCAAAAGGCGGCAGGCGAGAAGATCGGATAAGCTGCATCGATGCATGGTAATTGTTGCGGGTTTACTCTCCAACACACCGGATGTGCTGTGCGAGTAACGAATTGCCACGTTTTATTCACGTGACAACAATTACTCATTGGCTGTGTCGGGTGGTGGCGGGTTTAACGACACATTTATATTCATGCGATCTAGCCCATGTACCTCTATTATAGATGATATTGGCTCGCGAAAACCTACTTTTGTCAATATCACTCAACACTGCTGGTCAATGCGCGTGTACGCGACAGCGCGTTTGGGGGAAGCTCAGACGGTGGTCTCACTCGCCACCGATGGGACCTTGAAATTCCTCGTCGGACGGTAACGGTCGTGCCACCTCACGATGAACTTCTTCCGCGCCGTACGTAGCCAACCGCGCTAATCGGAGGTGCGGGGAGCGGCGGGGGGGGGTGTGCAGAAGGACAACAAACATAAAAAAGTTCTAAAGAAGTTAGTTTGTCAATGTAGATTATTTAAAAGTGCATAGCTCCCAGTGACTTTCTCACATCGGGAGGAAGGGCGTTCCAGACGGACGCAGAAGTGCATCTGAAAGCGTGTGACAAGCTATCCATTTGGATATCAACACGTGAGGAATCGATGTAAGCTGAATGGGACAAATTAAACCTGGCGATGATGCTGCTGCTGCTGCCCGAGTGCAATTGACACGACGACGCTTTTGTCCTTAACATTACATTGTAATAAATCCTGCTTCACAGCGCTGGTCGGTACGCGTCCGTAACGGCGCATGGGGACAGCGGGGACCGTGGGCTCTGATTTCACCCGCCCCCTTGAAGTTCCTCGTCGAATGTTAACGACAGGCCGCTCGCCGATGGCGACATCTGACGGCGGCTCTTCACGTGTGTTACAGGTGTGGAGCTCTGTCGGGGCTGCGCATCCCACAGCCCCGCCGCGTGCGTCCCATCGCCCCAACTCCACCACCACCACCGTGACCCACACTCCTCCAACGCGGACAGAAAACCACGGACGCCGGTCAACCGCACCGCCACGCAGCAACACATCCGGACCATGGACACTCGCCGGAACAACACGAAGAACCTCCTGGCGTCGAGCGGCACCTCCGTCCCGGACGGCCGCAGGCACAACGTGCACAGGCTGCGAATGGCGGCCGAGAAGGTGTTCAGCAACTCCGTCATGGAGTCGCGCAGGGATAAGCGATCGGTGAAATCCCACTCGCTCGACCGACCTCGCCGGCAGGTGGACGCCCCGTCCGGCGAAGCGTTCGGCCGCTGGAACAGCCTCCAGTGCTTCGTCTTCTCCCGAGAAGACTCCGCCCCCCTCAAGGCTCATCCCGACGTGCTACCCGCCCACACGGACGCACCGCCGGAGCCCACGGACCCCCGCGGCGTCGAGACGCGCCGCCCGGCCGCTCCCGGCGGTGCACTGCTATCGGGGGGATCTTCCGGTTGCGGCGTCGACGAGGCGGCGTTGGCCGTGGGGCAGAGGCTGGCACGGCCGTGCTTCAAGGACATCCCGTCCGACTCCAAGTGCATGGTGCAAATGATAGGCAACGGCTGCGTCAACAACTGCGTGGGGTGCATCCCGGCTGACAAGCCTCCCAACGGGAACGTGCAGGCCCTCGTCACCTCGCAGCCGTCCGGGCGGCTGAGGCCGGCGACGCAGATCAAGATGGGCAGTCGCTCCCCGGTGCTGCAGGCCATCAAGAAGAATAACTCTCCTGACTTCTCATCCTCCTCCCCGTACTCTTCCGGCGCTTCGGCGGTGGCCACCGTGGGAGGAGGAGGAGGACTTCCTGGGCCGGTGCAGCGGACCGTAAAGGAGTACGCGGGCATCTGCACGTCGCCCACGCTGCTTCTGCGCAACACGCAGGCTCTCCGCAAGAGCCCCCAGCACGGGTACCGCAAGCGCCTGGCCGCCCTCGCGTCGTGCGGGCTCGCGAGCGGACCCTCCGCCTCCCGCCCTCCCGAGGATCCGACGGAGGGCGGAAACGAAGCGATGCGCGAGTTGGAGGCCGTGACGGAGCAGCCGCGAAGCTGCGAGCAACGACGTCAGACGGGCGGAGGAGGGGGAGGTGGCGGCGATGTGTCGTGCACGCCGGGGCCAGGAGGACTCAAAGGCGGCAGGCGAGAAGATCGGATGAGCTGCATCGAAGAGGTCGCTTCGTTGGAAGCGCCGGATGCCTTGAAGCTGACGGGCGCCCCTCCTGCCGACGCCGGTGGAGGTGCGTTGGGTGGTCGGACTCCACGCTGTGGCTTCTGGCAGAGTGCCGCTGCAGCTACTGCCGCTGGTGATGACAGATACTTGCACAGGACCGCGAAGAGGGCGGACATTGAAGTGCACACGTCCTTCTTGAACATCACCAGCAGTGAATACGACCCGCCCGAGCCCACGAAGACCTTCGACAGTTTTAAGTGTCGCGGCGGCACCGACGGCGAGTCTTCCCTCGGCCCCGAAGCGAGAGCGGACTTTGGCAAGGAGCAACAAGGGGATTCGAGGTCCCGTGACCTCGGCCCGGCCAACGACGAGCTCCGAGATCGTCCCAAAGACCACAAAGGTGGCAACGACCTCTTGGAAGTCGAGGGAAACGACTGGCTGAGAGAACGGCCTCCGGGCGAAGTGCCGGAGAATAAATTCCCCCTCGAACTTTTGCCGACGGAGCACGACGTGGGCCGCTGGGATCGCTCTCCCGGTGATGCCAAAGCCGATGCAGCGCTTCGAGGCCCGGCCGCGGCAGCGGAGTGTGACCCCCACGAGTCCGGGCCCACGGAGGACGGCCGTGTGAGCGATCCATCGCGAGGCGAAGATCGTCCGAAACGCCACGCCGAGGACGTCCGAGGTCTCGACCGGCGGCTGGTCTCCATTGACGTGGAAGGCCGGGAAGGTCGGGGTGCGACGGAAACGGTCCCAGCGCGAGAAGATTTGGCGTCTACTGAACTCTGGCCGGACGGCTGCGTCCAGCCGGCTCACGAGGTTTGCGAAAGAGGTTTTATCTTTTTTTTCACTTTACGTGGTAGATGCGTTCTAAACAACAACAATAAGGGGGGGGGGGTGGTGAACAAAACTAAATATTTTACAGCGAACCGCACCATTCAAAGCCAATTAAAGACCATGGGCCTGTCTTGGGGTGAAGCAGAGAAAGCTGCTAAAGACCGCCCGGCATGGCGTGGTGCTTGTTGCGGCCTTGTGCTCCACAGGGAGCGAAGAGGAGTCAGTTACAGCGATCCCATCGTCACTGTCAAAAGATTCGTTCCAAAACCTCTGCTGCCCCCACCCAGACGCACTTTTACAACTCGATCGTGACAACTTTATGCGCACAATGCAAACGATAAACACCTATCCATAATACAGGTTTTTTTTGGGGGGGGGGTTAGAACGCGTAAATATTTACGCAATCTATCCCCAAAAAACCTGTGTTATAAACACTACTGGTCGCGAAAGTCCACGTGTTAAACTGATAAACACCTGACGCAGTAAACTGAAATACGATACAGTTATAATTTCCCAATTGAATAATTATGTTGAATGCTCACACGAGTATACAGAGAGACGAGAGATGCGTGCGGCACGACGGTCGAGAGTAAGCAGCGCGCACGCAGACGGCACGGAGAGACGACGCGAGGCTGGCCGCTTGGCACGAGACGGCTGCCGCGCCGAGTAGCGCGTACGCCTCGGTCAATCTTCGCGGTGGCTAGGAGATGTTAACTACCTCGCCTGGTATACAGGAGGTCGTTGGTTTCGATGCAGACCCTGACGCCTGCTGCTGCTGTATATGTTGAGTTTGCGTGTCTCTCTCCCCGTGGTCTTATATAATCCTACATACATGCATAGGATTATAGGAATGTAGCGTACAATAATATAGGATGAGCATTCATATGATTCAGCATATCTTGTAGTCTAGTGGTAGTGCCTTACGCCGATATTCCCAACTCCGAGCCGGCCTAGCAGCAATTCCAGAAAATATCGACTGAAATTGCAAGCCCAGACGATGATTACATAATAATAATTACAATTACTTGATAGTGTACGTAGGCCATCGCAACTAACGTTATCATGCACAATTGGGTTTTTATATATTGTTGGGTTACGTAGTCGCGTAGAGCCAATTCTCGACCATAACTCGCCACCACCCGCCGGAGCCGATCGAACGAAGTTGTCGGAGGAGGAGGAGGGGAGGAGGAGGAGGAGGAGGAGGAGGGGAGGAGGAGGAGGGCAAAGCAAAACCATTGTTTGATGTTTCGCTTGAGATGACGAGCAGCATCATCAGGTGCGTGACAGGACCTCTGCTGCCGGCTCACCGCGTGGCTGCCGCTGCCTTTTCCCATTCGTTCCGAGTCGGCCGCACGTTCCCCACTCCTCACACAAATCCGCCGTTTTAATGCCGGCAGGCCGCCCTGCGTTATTACCCCAGGTGAGACAACGGACCAGATTTGCGCCGTTCGAAAACGTCACAAAGCGCACGACAAAATTGGCATTACGCAAAGAAACACCGCCCCCTGGTGTGAAACTTACAGCGGACTGCGTGAAACGGTGTCCCTGTAAGAGGCTCGCCCTATGAGAATTCGGGGCGCCGCAGTGGCGAGATGTTATCTCCCTCGCCTGGTATGCAGGAGGTCGTGGGTTCGATCCCGAACCCTGACGCCTGCTGCTGTATATTCGGAGTTTGCACGTTCTCTCCGTATTTTTATCTGCGTACTCCGCTTTTACCCTCCCACATTTAGAATCAACATCACGCCATCAGAGACTTTGGCTGCTGACAATATATTCCCACACGTAATAAGCCACTTCGTTAATAGCTCAGTGGGGCTTCAGTTGAACAGTTTTAACGGCGCGAATACCCGATACTGAGAGCGCCGAATGATGATCACGCACCTCCGATTAGCACGGTTGGCTACGTACGGTGCGAAAGAAGTTCATCGTACGTACGTACGTACGTACACGCGCACACACACATCACGCCCGCTACCAACGTTGACTCCCGCGACATCGCTCCTCCCCATGTGCGTGAAGGTTCCGGCCGGAGACGCGAGCGCGTCGCGAGATTTGGCGACTCCGTGCAGCGCGCCACCGTCGTCCGCCGTGGACGTGATGCTGCAGACGGGGCTGGACATCGAGCGGATCTACCTGTCGGAAGCCCCGCTGTCAGACCCCGTGAGTGTTGTGACGTTCTCTCACCCGCGTGGTCCCCGACTGAAAAAAGAGCTGCATAGGCTCGTCGGATTCCTCCAGTGTCAATTACATGTTCTGCCTCCGAGTGAGTGCAACCGCTCAGGCAGTAAAACTCATTAAACACAAAGTGCTTGCCCCAAATGAACCTCGTTGATCTTGTCAAGGAGCATAAACCATCGAGCAAACTTCAGTCATCCTCGCAGCAGCAGCAACAGCAGCAGCAGTTGCTTTTGGGCTGGCCATCAAACACAGACGCTCACCGTATAGCGGCGCTTTCAGATGCGGCGCTTCTGCGGCCGTCTGGAACACTCTTCCGATATTAGGAAACCACTGGGAGCTGTGGACTTTTAGATCACCGAGGTTGAAAACTAATTTCTTCGGAACTCCTTTTTGTTGTTTGGTTTGTTGACCTTCACGCCGGCACCTCGAATTAGCACGGCTGGCTACGTATGGTGCGAAAGAAGTTAAACATAGATACACACATATACAACACAATTTGTGGGATTCGGGTCCATAGCCTTGAGTTCATTATCCATGCAAGTTGTTAAATCAACGCTGCGACCGCCTCTGTGAACAGAGCGACATCGATGGCTTCAGTTACGACTCGATTGGCAGGTCATGTGTTGTGAGGTGAAGTGTGGGCAACTTCTTCCAAGACCTTCCGGCCAGCGTAGAGGAGTAGGCCAAATCATCACCCACCTACAGGGACTGTCTAGAGCAGGGCTTCTCGAGCGGGGGTAATTCGGGCTCCTGCGGGGTACGTGAAGGTGATTTGTAAATGTCTGAAATTATATCTTTCATTGGTGAATAATCACGTATGAATCTGCCAATATAAAATAACTACGAGAAAGTTTTTAATCCGAATGGTTAACCAGAACGATCTAAAAGACCTTTCTAAACTCATCGATGTTAAGCAACGCGGTTTCCCAAGAGTGACCAGGGTCTGGAACAGATGACGTCACGCGTTCAGAGCGTCCGTTAATTTTATTTTTATTCGCTTGCATTTACTATAAACAAGTCCGGGGTGATACCTCACAAAATGTGACAATTGGTTAAAATATCGATGTTCATGAATGCATACATTTACATTTCTCAGGCAAGGAGTGGTGGTACTCGGTTGAAAGAAAATTCAGCAATGGGGGTAAAAGTTGCAGCCGAAAGAGTTGAGAATCACTGCTCTGGAGAGCCCTTTGCTGGAGACCCTTCTCAATTGAGGGATGTGCCCTTTGACCTCTCATTCATAATAGAATGAGTTATATCATCGGTATTAATGCCATTTGGTCTACCCAGAACAGCCTCTATTGAGTCTCGAGACTTTTTCAGGATGTTCGCCAAATCTGCGCGACGTTTGAAAACATTCGATGGAGCGTGACGTTTGGAGAGCAGAGTTCGCGCCTGAAGAGCCGTACGTACATCGCTTCCATTGCGCAGGGCTGTGTAATGGCAAAAGAGACGATGGGTGGGAATTCCAAAGTCCCTCAAACTGAATCGCCCTTCCAGTGAATATCATCCGTGAATAAACGCTTCGTAGCTCATCGGATTTCCTCCACGATAAATAAGGATTCTGTTCATTGATCTCCCCCCCCCAGATTCTAACGCCGATATCAGTGACGCCAAATCTGCACCGCGAGCAGTGGGTGTCAAGCGTCATTTCTCCCATCCCTGAACACCCCGTGGCCACCATCGGCCTGGGCCTCTCGTCCGAGGGCCGCAATCTTTCGTCGGCCGGGCCTCAGCCAAGGGTCAACCCCGAGTCTGCCTCTCCCGCGTCGCCCCTCGCTCCTCCACGCGCCCCCGGCCCGGAGTCGAGTGGCCCGAGCCCGCCGCCCATCGAGTCCGAACGCCGCCGCTGTCCCGCTCGGCGCTCCATCGACGGCTGCGTATGTGCTTCACTCGGTCACGCGTCCATCCGTCCGTTAATTCCTTCAAATCGTCAAATCAAAGGGCGAGCACGTTTGGCATCGCCGCCGATGTTGTAGCGCCGGGCGCTCGCGAAGGCGGGAAGGCGCTGCTGCGTTTCGCAGATGGGTGAAGTACCCAATTGAACCCTTTCTCGTTCCGAGACGTCTGCAGGTCGCAGGGCGTGGGTGTTCGGTTCACCGCTGAATCTCGGCAAGCGCGAGCGGCTCAACGTTCATTTTATTCAGAGTGGCATAGCGCCGTTGTTTTTTAAAGACGTTGCACTCGCTGCAGAAAACCGTAGCGACACGAACCGCGCTCCACGATAGCTGACGACAATCTGTGCCACACGCCCTCCCGCATGGCCAAGTGAGAGCCTCGGTGCGTCTTCTGACCTGACCTAAAGACGTACCGATGAAGTTATTTTATTTCGGTTGACGTACATGAACATCATCGGAACGGAATCGGCAGAAAGGGTAACAATAATTTCATTTCATAGAGCGTCATTCATGCACTTGCATCCCACAACGCTGCTCATCAATTATCCAGTTCCGTATACAGATAATACAGATAAAAGAAAAAATCAATACATAAATAACGACATAAAACTATACACGTAACAAGAAAAAAGCATCGTAGAGAAATTAATTGAAAATCAATTCATCCGTTCGGTCTCCATACCCCAGATCACAATCCCAACATTTCGCCGGATTTTGGAGAACCTTCACTGGCGCGGTGGTGGAGTAGCCGAAAAGTTACGAGCCGGCTGGACGATAATGCCAATGGCTCTTTTCCAGCGCGTGCCAGGGTGAATTTAATTCAAATTCGTCAACAATGGAAAGTGCCTCGGGCGCGCGACGGCCTACTCACTATCGAGGCCGGGGAGGGCCGCCGTGGTCTCGATCGGGAGGGCGGACGCCACCATACCCAAAATAACCACCGACGGCCCCTGATGCAAACGCACGAACGCACCGACAACCCCGCCGCGTCACTTCCCCCACCTCGTGCCGCCTATTCCCAGAGGCCGTGCCTCGGCCCGCCGGCCGCCCCCGGAGCGCCAGCGACGTCGGAGGACGACGGCGGCGGCGGCGGCGGCGGCGGCGGTGTCGCCGCGACGACAGCCGCGGGGCTCTCGGAGCGCCTCTCCTCGCTGGCGCTCCCCGCGGTCGTCGCCGGCGGACTGTGGCGCGCCGGGCACGGCACGCTCGGCAAGATCGGCCGCCTGAGCGAGCGCGAGCTGCGCGACGCGGGCCTCTGCGACGCGGCGCACGCCGGGGGCCTCCGCTCGGCCGTGGAGCAGCTCGCCAGGCAGCTGGGCTCGTCGGCCAGGCGGCGGGGCGGCCGCTGCGAGGCGCGCGGCTCCAACAACGTGTGAGCGGCGGGCGCCCCGGCCGCGGACGCCTCTCGGTCGCGGAGGCGAGATGTCGACCGCCTCGCCCGGTGTACGGGAAGTCGTGGGTTCGCTCCCGACCCTGACGGAGGCGAGATGTCGACCACCTCGCCCGGTGTACGGGAAGTCGTGGGTTCGCTCCCGACCCTGACTCTGCCTGTATATTTCAAGTTTGCATGTTCCTCTCTCTCTCTCTCTCTCCTCGTGGTCGCATGGATTTTTCTCCAGGCCCTTCAGTTTTTCCCTCAATATTTGTTTAAAAACACGCGTTTACAGTATTTGGCTGCTGTAAATGTCCACGTGACAAGCCACTTCATTGAGCTACAAAGGTCGCTTCTTTAATGAAAGCTACAAAGCTCAGTCGGGCCTTACCTGGCGAAATAAAAAATTGTTTCATTTTATTTGTTTTAAAACCGTGGCTGAGTTTCGTCCGATCGCTCGTGGGTTTACAAGTTGTCGCACGGTGGGGCAGCTTCTGGTAACTGATCACTTAAGGCTTTCCAAACAAATCAAAAACAGATGTCAGTTATTTCCTGCTCCAATTGAGTGTCGAGGCATTGGTGCTCATCTCCTGTTTTACAGTCCGGAGCCACCGGTGGAAATTCCACATTCCTATGGCGGGAGTGAGTCCTCCCACAAGACATTGCCTTCGCCACAAAGTGGTGCTTAATTTATCTACCCGTGAAGGCGAATTATCTCGATGACGGTAATGATCTTGAGTTGACTCCCAACCGGGGTTACAATGCCAACATTGGAAAGATGTGTGCCACGAAATGAGCTGATGAGTTACATGTTGTGGACAGGGGGGTCATTCAATGGAAGGACCTCGCCTCTGCTATGGAAACGTGGATTTTCCAACTCTTAGCTCGCGGTCCACCAAACAGGAGGTGAGTACGGTGTCAAACGATGGGACGAACGACGCGGGGTGACGCGGGGTGACGTGTTGTGACGCGCTGTGACGCGTTGTGACGCGTGGTGACGCGTGGTGACGCGTGGTGACGCGTGGTGACGCGTGGTGACGCGTGGTGACGCGTTGTGACGCGTTGTGATGCGTTTCACACCGGCTCGGGGTCACCGTAATTCAATCCCGAGGTTTTTTTTTTTAGGTCCATAAGAATGAGATTATCCAGGAAGACAATTTTACACTTCACGTTATAAAAGACAAAAGCATATATCCCGTCGAATGGAACACACACCCGTCAACCCCTTATCAGTGCCTACCTTATTACAGATCAATCCAGACCTTATTGGTCACCCCGTGCCCTTATAAATCTCAACGTTCATCCTTCAACGTCCCATCACAAGGGATAAACGCAAACAAGTAAAAAAATGTTTTGCCTTTATTGAAACGGCTGTACGCCACATGAACCTGAAAATTACTTTTCCCTGTAGAAGAATACAGGGTAAACCGTATGGGTTGACAGCTATCGGAATGTTTTTTTTTAACTTACATATACTTTCTCCTGTCGCCTGAAAATATTACGATACAATCAAAATCATAATGATATTTAAATGTCAGCATTTGCAGCTGAGCACAAGCACAAATCGCCAACCACATTTTGTCCTTCAAGCACCCTCTTTATGAACGGTGTTTAATTTAAATGCGTCCGAGGTGGCTGACCGGCTGGAGTGGATACTTAGCCACGGTTCGGAGCGAGTTGGGTACTGGATGTGACGTGCCAGGTGTGGAGATATTTGCGGGTCTCCAGCTGGGCCATAAACCGTGTGAAATTAAGCGCGGGTTATAACAGAAATATACAACAGCGGCAGGCTCTTGTAACCATGATAAAGGTGTTTCTTCTTCTTTTGGGGTTAGATCGCGTAAATATGAATGTGTGATTAAAACCCGCCACCACCACCCGACACAGCCAATTAATAAAAAAATATAATTGATTATGGATAATGTTGGTCGCGAAAGCCTACGTGTGAAAACAGGCCCATCAGTGTTCCGGGCAGTGGGTCCCTTTTCACACGCTGGAAATTCCACGCTCCCATGACGAGGGCCGTTCTCTCTTTTTCTCTCTCTTGCGGACGATCTAAATAAGTACCGCAAAATGGTACTTGCTTTGTTAATCCCAGATTGATGATGGGTCGCGATGTCGAATATGGGCCACGGTCGTATTCTCGTTCACCATGTCGTTCTCACGAGCTGCTGCGTCTTGTCACATTGTCACATTGTCGTGTTGACTGAGAAATCCTGAGACGAATCGTGGAGTTGCTTGAAGATGGGGATGACTTTTTAAAGTTATTTTTGGCGTGGAGAGCCATTACTCCGCGATGATGATGATGATGATATTTTAATTTTGCAAAGTTCCGATTGTGAGCGAAGTGCTTCTGCAGAAGGCCCATTGCCAAAAACGTCAAGTGATGTCTATTTTTAATGTACACTTTTCTTTTTTAATGAGGTGTTTATGGCAAACATGGAGAGCTCTGTTTACTTCGAATTGTGACGGCAAACTATGGATTCAAGAATCAGACTCAATGTATTTATGCTGTAGGAATCCGATGAGTTATGAAGCTCTCTTTTTTCCAGATGTCAAGTAGGGGCACGGGTTCAGAACGTGACGATAACAAACAATACTACGTATGTAACGCTACAACCCACATCTCAATATGCCCTCCAAAGCACAGGGCGTCTGAGTGTGGAAGGGAAAGATGCAGGCTGGTGCAAACATGAAAGAGTTCACTCTTAGAAAATGTGGTGAAAGGACGTCGGGAAAGGTCTTAGAGTGGACAGAAAGTTTGAAGGTCGAGAGGTCATCCACCCGCACCCCATTGCCATCGCTTCCCGTCTGCCCCCAAATTCTACAACCGCCAAGTGGAGTGGACACGCAGCCACCAAGCGTCACGATGCCCCAGTCCCGGTGGCCTGCCCAACTCCAACCCTCCAGGCCGCGTGCTCGGAATGAACGCAGCCCACGGTGATTGAGCGACTGCAGCTCAAGGTGAGTCAGGCGAAGTGTGGCTCCCCTGCCCAAACGAGGACGGGGCACTGCTCATTCTCCAATTGGACCCTGAACCGGTGATGTAATGCTCCACATTCCTACGGCATGGCTTTAGTATATTTTTTACGACGGTAGCTTCTCAAGCAATGTCCCTCTGTAATCCTGTTGGCAATCCTCTGCCGTCTGAGGGGCTTCCTCGTGTCGCGAAGAAGGAGGTTCTTGGAACATACCTCACCACGCTGTGTCAGCGAGCCGTTTTGTGAAGGCGGCAGGGGGAGGGGCGAGCAAAGGCGTGGAGCATAGAAGTGCAGCCCAACAACGGGATACATTGCTCCGTTGGCCTCCGCCGCTCGGCCCGCCACGTAGCTCCGCACCTGCCAAAGTAGCAGACCGCCGCGCCAGGCCGCCGCGGTTTTGTCTCCTGCGCTACAAATGGAAGCCAACGCATGCTGACAAAACACCACGGAAATGTTTCGGAGGGCCTCCGTCACGTCGGGAAATATTGCACAAGTGACAGGTTTGTGCGAGGCTAACACAAACAGACGTACAAATACATATTGTATCAACAGCGCTTCCGAACGGACTTGTGCCCTTCAAGCACATTTTTTTTTTGTTAACATCTGGACAATGCAAATTAATCTGGCAATGGCCAGAAGCCATAGCTTTGACGCTGGAATTATTTCAGCCCAGGAGGTGCTAATCCAATGTTATCGATGTAGGAACATTATTCGCTACAACCTACGCCCTTGAGTTGGACAATGGGGGTCAGCAGACGCTGCTGTAATGGCAGCGGAACATTTGAAATGCCGTATTTCCTTTTTCTCGGTGCGATCATTTGCCGGTGTGTTTTAAAGCGTATGGGGAGTGATAAAAAAAATGTCTGTGGGCTCACGAAGAAGTGCTGCAAAATGTGGAGCGAAAAACATCCAGAGATAATATTGAGAGAGCCCATGCTGACCCAGCCCTGGCTCCCCGTGCCTTTCAGATGCCTCACTCGCAGCCGGAGGACCACTCACGGCGAGAGTTATTCTCCAGCGGCCGTGAGTGAGCCGCGGGCTCTGGGCTGAGCTTGGAGCAAGGCACAGGGAGTTTCTGGGCCGGGATTAAGGGTCTTGGGACATCGATTGTGATGAATGGACGAAGCGCACTGCACTTCGAGGGGATGATGCGAAACGGAATCGTACCTTCGTCACGGCGACTTGCAGCTCTCAGTCCCGGCGTGTGCTGGCTACGCATGCGTCGCCCGCGGAGAGGCAACGTCTGATAACAAGCCAAGTGGGTTCTTGAT